ATGACCCATTTATTTTTAAATGGGTCACCTTAATTTTAAAGAGTCAACCTTAAATGGGTTTTAAATTTTAAAGCTTAAAGATAAATGGGTCTAAATGGATTGAGTTTGGAACCCTTGTCCAATCCACCTACTAGATCCATCCACACACTCTCTCCCTCTTTACAAAAATGTTTAAAAAAAATCGAAATTTAATTATTTTTTTTCTTTTATTTTTTCTTTTTTCTTTTCTCTTCTTTCTTTTTCTTTTTTTGTTTTATTCCGGCCGGTGGTCGGCCACTGCGACCGGCCACCAGGGCGGGACGACCTCGCCGGAGGCCGGCGAAGCTCGAGCCTCGCCCGATTCTGGCAACCTCAGGGCTTGCCCGATCCCGGCGAGGCTCCAGCCTCGCCGACCTGTGGCGAGGCTCCAGCCTTGCCGATCTGGCGAGACTCGAGCTCGCCGGCCTCAGGCGAGCTCGACCTCGCCGGATCTGGCGAGGTGGAGCCTCGCCCGAGGCCGGCAAAGCTCAAGCTCGCCAACCTCAGGCGAACTTGACCTCGCCCGAGGTTGGCGAGCTCGAGCTTTGCCGGCCTCGGGCGAGGCTCCACCTCGCCAGATCCAGCGAGGTCGAGCTCGCCTGAGGCCGGCGAGCTCGAGTCTCGCCAGATCGGCGAGAACGAGCTTCGTCGGCCTCCGGCGAGCTCGTCCTCGCCTGTGGTCGGTCGCCGGCCACGGCGGCCGGCGATCGGCCAAAAATAAAGGAAAAAGAAAAAAATTAAAAATAATTAAAAATTCGATTTAGAAAATAAAAAAATATTAATTTTTTTTTTATTTTCTTGGATAATGACTTTATGGAAAATATTTTTTAGAAATGTCCCATTTTTTGTAAAACAAACGGAACCTCAATTTTAAAAAAAATTATAAAATTTTTTCACTAGCTTTGTATTGCATAAAATGTTTTAGCAGTATAATTTTAAAAAAAATCATAAGAAACAAGTATTCCTAGATTAGGTTAAATATAAAAGTGTTTTAGCAATATGGGTCGGGTTGGGTATGGGTCGAGATATTTACACTATGAATAAATGGGTCATAAACGGGTTAATGGGTCAATTTGGGTCGGACCATTTATGACCTGACCCAAACCCGACCCGACCCACCCGTTTAACAGGTCTAGTTGGGGAGAACCGGGACAGCAATTCACCAAGAACCAAGTCCAATCCAGAATCAATATCTCCCCTCACAATTAAACCGACCGAAATCGACTTAATCTTAGTAACAACCAACAATATTCCAGCAATTCAACTTTGCAATAATAAGGAGATAAATGCAACGACGACACCAAGATTTAACGTAGAAAATCCAATGAGGGAAAAAAACAACGGATCCTCGCAAAAACTTTCACTAATTATCAAGAATAGTAAGATACACAAAGTTCTTCTCTAGTTACACACTAAAGGCACAACATTAACAATATAACATCAATTTCATCACCACAAAGGTAAATTTATATAAAAAGAGGAGAAAATAATAATCGCAAATGGAGAGTTCAGAGGAGATTCTCAACGAATGAAATCGATCAACTCGTCGCCCTCGATTTCACCAACAACGTAGTAAAATTTGAGCCAATTTCGACAACATTTGACTTGGGACCGCAAAATTCAGCCCCCTTCTTTCTTCTTTCTATTTTCTCTCTCCTGGGCACACTTGGGCACACTGACGACAGGAGCCCCTTTTTCTTTCTTTTTGACTTTTCCTTTTTTTAAATCATATTAGCTGGGCCCCACGAATGAGCCGGACCCAGCCAGCATGTTTGATATTGGAACTCCTTGATCCGACCGGATAATATTAAAATCTTTTTGATCCGACGGCGGAGAGGGCGTGCAAGATAATTAGATGTTGCAAATCGACAAGGACCTATAGAAAAAAAGCCATTTACGTTGTAACAGTTAAAAAGTCCAATATAAAAACTTAAATTGATAAGTGGAGGGACTCGTTATCAATTGATGTGGAACAATATTTCAATGGTCTCACGTGTAAGTCGGATTAGGAGCGGCACGTGAAATTTGATTGATCGGTGGTGGATGCATATATGTGAAAGGGATAGAACTGTTATGATACCATGTCAGAAAGTCTTACCCAAAACTTAAAACACGCAATCCAAGCCGATCGAGTATGATTTGGACAACAAGTTGAATTTTCAAATCAAAATTGACATCCCGGACATTCTACTCCGATCGAAAAATTGAATTGTCATATCCGACATGCTAGATGGTTATGTATGCATTCTAGAAAAAAAAAAAAAAAAAAGGAAGGGCCTGAAAGCGTGACGCACCTCTAACGGGGGCCGGTCACCTCAATCCAGTATGCTAAAAGGAGATCTGTACGGGGTAAAACCGGCCCCTTTCGGACGGTGCTCTGACCTCCCGAGCCGAGGTCGATCCCTTCTTAGTAAACCACACCAAAAATGGGTTATATCGAACCAAACTAATTCAAGAAAGTGATTAAATCAATCGTCGAGCCCAATGGTCCGACGCCCGACTTCACGAGACTTAAACTAACACCCTAGAGGATCTACATATGTATGAAGTATCACATACTTTAGGATGAATGAACTCGAACACGGCAATCAAAAACCGAGACAATCGACTTAGTGAATTACGACAGTTTTGCGCTTTTCGCCTTGTTTCAACCAGATCAGTTTTAAACGGCGTGTGCAGGTGTTCATCTTCTTCTACCTTGATGCGGAGACACGAAGCTTGACAAAGAGTGTTTTCTTGATCACGAACGAAAGCTCGAGAGGCGTGAGAGAGATCCCCAATGCTGCCACCTACATTTCACTTGCTTCCTGGGGTTCAGCGTGGCGGATCCTTCCCTAACTTCTCTCGATCGTTTCGAGGTCGATACCAGCTCAAAACACCACAGGCCAGGCACCACGAAGATCGTTTTTCAATCTATTTTCCAACGGTGCATCGCTGGCGCACAATGATTCTATGTGTGGCTTCCCATATCGCCTCAAAAACTGTTAGCAATATTAGGAAATTTACTCGATTATGTTTTTCTCTCGAGATTATGCATATATGTCCTTGATTGATTATATTTGGCATTATGTTTTTCTTAGGGATGAGTATATTGGAAGTCCTAAAATATGTTACGAAAGTGCAATTGAGTCATGAAACTTTTAAAAAACATAATCAAGACCTAAAACTTATCAAGTTAGAGCAATCAAGTCCTCCCACTAACTCCATCGTCGATAGCTCCATCAAAGTTGATAAACGGAAAATGCTAACAAGTTTTAGGACTTAGTCCTTTCATTAACTCTATCCAACTTGACAAATGGAAAATACTAATAAGTTTTAGAACTTGATTGCACCAACTTGACATGACAAAAAGGCTTAAGGAGAGCTACATCCTAACAAACAAACTCAATGACATCTCCTGTATTTAACAACCAAAGGGAAAATTGTCAAATCAGTCCTAAACCTATTGTACGGCGGCCAATTCAGTCCTAAACCTTTTAATTTTGCCAATTCAGTCCCAAACCTTTTAAATTCTTGCCAATTGAGTCCTTCCGGCCAATTTTGGCCGTTCGGCGCTGACGTGGCAATTTTTAATTATTTTTTTTCAATTTTTTAATCTTTTTTTTTTTTTTCTGGTTCTCCCATCTGGCCGGTCCGGCGACCGGCGGCTGGCAAGAGGGGAGGGTCGGCGAGGCCTCGCGGCTCGCCCACGGCCACCGGCGAGGCGAGCCTCGCCGGCCCCGGGCCGGGTGAGGCGAGGTCGGCCTCGCCTCGCCGTCGCGACCCGGGCGACGGCGAGGCTCGACCTCACCTCGCCTTGCCTCGCCTCGCCGTCGCGACCCGGGCGACGGCGAGGCTCGACCTCGCCTAGCCTCGCCTCGTCGTCGCACAGGTCGCAACGGCAAGGCGAGGCGTGGCGAGGTCGAGCCTCGCCGGATCCGGGCGAGGCTCGACCTCGCCGTCGCGACCCGGGCGACGGCGAGGCGAGGTCGAACTCGCCGTCGCCGGGTCGCGACGGTGAGGCAAGGCCGACCTCGCCTCGCCCTCGCCGGTGGCCGACAGGGCATGCTTCGCCAGAGGCCTCGCCGGCCCTCCCCTCTGGCCGGCCGCAGGTCGCCGGACCGGCCAGAGGGGAGAAACCAGAAAAAAAAAAAGAAGAAAAAGAAAAAAAAAGATTAAAAAATTGAAAAAAAATAATTAAAAATTGCCACGTCAGCGTTGAACGGACGGTCGGCGCCGGCCGGCGGCCACATCAGCGCCGGCCGGCCAAAATTGGCCGGAAGGACTCAATTGGCAAGAATTTAAAAGGTTTATGACTGAATTGGCAAAATTAAAAGGTTTAGGACTGAATTGGCCGCCGTACAATAGGTTTAGGATTGATTTGATAATTTTCCCAACAACCAAAGGTAAATTGGAAACGCCAATTTCTTTTTGTTCTTTTACTAACAATTAAACTTTCACAATGTACTTATATTGGCACGTTAATTCACGTATAAAATATTTTCATTATCTTTTTTTGTGGAAACTAACATTTTGGTGGGATAAAGCAAAAAGTTGTCTTTAAATTTTAAAAAGCATAAACACATATGCCCGTAGATATTGTTCGATGAACGCATAGAAGAGACAACTCGACAGCAACACTAACTAAACAGCATACGTATCAGACAGTTTGATAGCAACATCAATAAGCATTGAAATCTAGTGAGACACATTTGGAACTTAGGGTTGATGTGCCTGTCGCTACATTCCATGCCCGGTTTGAACTTTTGCTTTCAGCAGGTATCGATCCCATGCTTTTACTGTGTATTTGCATTCTATTGTGTAGAACATAATCTGATCACCCCAATGACTTGAAAACCAAGATTTATTAGAGAGGAATATAAGAGCAAACTTATAATGAACCAAAGATAGTTGGCTGAATATAGTAATAGCATACTACATATTGCTCACTGGTGCTAGATAAAGATAAATATGCCCTTGTCAACTATCTTATAAGGGATGCATTAATTAAAATAAATGGGGTAAACCGGCGAAGTATTGGGATAGAATAGCCCGAAATTTTGCTCGACGCCGGCGGGTTTCTGATTCTCATTGAACAGCGCAAAGAGGAAGCCTCCCATGCTACGGTCCGGATGCTTAGGCGTCCCGGTGTTGGCCTGATACCTCTTCACAAGGTTCTGGTTATAAGTTTGTGCAAGCGCTGGAGTGGTGAAGTTACCATTTCCAGCAGAAGGCCAGCCGCTCTCGGAAATCACCAAATCCACATTGGTCACGCCTTCCTTCTCCATCGCCCAATAAAAGGCGTCCACGACCGCGTCGTGCAAGTTCGAGTAACTCAAGGGGCCATCCTGAACCACCGGGCCGGTCGCGGTGAATTGGGAGTAATCCAATCTCACGTTGACCGGATCGGAGGCGTACGCAAAGTACGGATAAATATTAATCATCAATGGCCAGCCATTGCTTGACAAAAATTTTATGATTCCAACCATGTCGGCACGAGCCGCATCAGAGAATGTGGCTTGTGACGGCGGGTAAGAAGTCCCTAAGGTTGAAGTCGGGACCACAGTGGTGATCTTTATTCCGCTGTATCCGTAGCTGTTAACAACACTTTGCAGATTCTGCATCGCAGGCAATACGTACCGACCTAAATCTCCAGGGACCACTTCGTTACCAGCCGAAAGATACGTAATGTTGACACCACTCACGTACGGTTGCACGTTGGCGTCAAACCATGCCTTAGCCGCAGCGACGCTCGACCCTATGTTTTGTAAATCCTGATTCTTGGTGCCCAACGTGACCTCTCTCCCACTGCCTCTCAGCGCAGCGAGTGCATCAGGGTTGGGATCGAAGAGCCGCACCTTGCCGATGCCGTATCTTTGGTAGAGTTGGACCACAGCCGCCGGAGAAGGGAGGTTGTCCCCGATCATCCCGTAGCACACGCCGATGTCGAGCCGCGCCTCCGTGGTTGCGATTTGGTGGTGAACAAACGCGAACGTCAGTAGCATGAGAATGATATTGACCAATGCCATCTTTGGGATTCTTGTTACCCTACTCCAAACACATAAAATTTATCATTATTCAGTAATCCAAAACCCTAAAAAAAACATAGTAATATCAATCCGATGGTAATGTTTTTTCCGACAATGACATAAAAACTAATAAAATAGGAGCATTAGTTCCTTTTGTCTAATAACATCACCATATGAGGGAAGATATACGCAAAAACTCGCTGGTAAAGCTCGAAACAAAACTAGTAATATCATGAGCCTGGAGTTTACCTGTTATCCACTTAGCTTCTGCTGCCCGCTGCAATATGGATACTTTTTCTTGTTTGCCAGTATATATATAGATACCTGGTAACTATATATTCTATTTGTAAGGCCGTGATATATGGAAATAAATCGAAGGAAATTAGAGCCCATCCTTATCCATAAAGCATAGGAAAAGATTATACATCGTTTGAGGTAAGAAAGGATTTCGTCCAAAGAAAAAAAGGTAAGAAGAGATTTTTTTTTACGGCATATTATCCATATGCCGTAAAAAAAGATCAAGGAAGAGATTATAATTTGCAAAATTAGAACCCACGTTAATTAGAATTCTACAACTGCATGATACAGTGTGAATATTTGTTCTTATCGATACTTAAGTGTATGTTGCAAAGTGGGCTTACCTGTCGTTATGATGATTCACATTTCCATCGCGGGCAATAGCGTGATTCCCATTTCCGAAGTCGCTTATGTGTTTTTTGAAAACGAGAAGGCTATTTCTTATATCGAAATAGTGGTGGGGTGGAGGAATCTATCAATTGATTATCAAGGATTGGATTATAAGAAAAGGGTAATTACATATCGCCGCGAATTAATTAATAAGGCGGTAGATTATTTATTTATTTTTCTGTTCCGACAATTTTTCTTGAGGAAAAAAAGTCAAATTCAATTGATTTCTGAAAAGTCATAAGCAACTTTCTCTCTCGGCTCTTAGCTCTGATCAAGCTCAGCCCTTAATTATGCCTTTCAAGAATAGTTTACAATCTGACCAAAAAAAAAAAGAGTATAGTTTACAAGATCAAAGCATATTCGATCAAAGCTAAGAGCCGAGAGAGAAAGTACACAAAAGTTTGGCTTTACAATCTCACCCCTTAATTATGCCTGTCAAGTATAGCTTTGTAGATTCCAATGACATCAAAAGTACACAAAGGCAATCATTAATAAGCAAATTTAGAAAAATCAGTAACAATGTTCTCAAACATCTCGATTGGAACTGTACCCAGTTTTGTCATCTCTTTAATCTTTCTAGTCATCGTATCCATCATTGGAACCAAAATAATTAAGGTTGAAACCATTAAAATCTCAAATTAGTTCCCCGTGATACCCCACTCTAATTTTCGTCACACAAAAAATTAGCCCTAACTTTTTGTCACACAAAAAATTAGCCCTAACTTTTTAATTAGCTGGGTTTAAATCTGGCCAAGTTCATACATCTTTAACTTTACAATCCCAAAATTAGGCGAACCACCCTTCACTCTCTCTCAAGTAAAAGCATAATTCCAAAATTAAAATTATAAAATTTGAAAAATCCTTCACTGTATTATGATTATTTTCGAAATTCCAGAAAAAAAAAAAGGTTTGATGCATTTTCATATTGAATTGAAAACACAATACATATTGAAGACCCAAGAATAAGGACCTGCGTTTTAATCAAAACCGAATTGGACCGAATTGACCTGGCCCGGCCCGTTTCCATTGCAGATCAAATTGGGCCTATCACGCCAACGAACAATCTCAACTCGAATTGGTTGTATCTTTTTAGAAGTTATAAAATTCAAAAATAAAAAACAATAATTATTTTTTATTCGAATTTGCAGTTTGTCTTTTGAAACGATATTAGTTCAAAAGGCAACGTTTTCAGAGCAAAGGTAGTATATTTTCTAAAACACAGTTATAAATTCGTCGTTTCTATCTCAATACTTTTTATTTCTCGATTTTTCTTTCTCAAAATTATACAGTCGTTGGTTTCAATTGTTCCCCTTCTGAATTGTTGATTGTTTGTTTACAAACAAACTAAGAGGTGCATTGTCCCACATCAAAAAGATATAAATGGCAGTTATTTTGCAGTTTTTTTTTAATTTCGAATTTTTAAAAAAATGACAAGTTGTGCACTTTTAAAACAATATTTTGTTCGTAAAAGAGTTTTTTTTTTTTTTTGGTAACCCGGGAACCCCCCGCACGGCCGACAGCCGAGGAGGTAAACCCGGGGTGATGCTAGCGCAGGACTCACCACCACGACGTCACGCTTAAGAATCCCTAACGCCAGCGGCTGGGATTCGAACTCCTACCCTTCGTGGGGGGAGGGGAGCCCGAAGCCAGCGCAGCCGCTGAGGGCGGTGGTTTGTTCGTAAAAGAGTTTAGCTATTATATATTCAACATTTCTTGTTCAATACTTTTTTCCCTCTCAATTTTTGGTTTTTTTCTTTAAAAAATAGCATTTTTTCTTCAATTGTTTCCTTGTCGGAGAAATACCAAGACTGATATTTAATATTCTTATTTTGAGACTTTATTGTATCTTGGAGGATCTTTGCCAATAAGCATTTAGCAACTTTGTAGGGCAAACAATTCCTTAAAATAGTGTATTCACGCCATAAAGTTTGACCAACAATTTTAAGGAACTATTTCTGCAACAATGGAGCCGGACTCAATCAAAGTCATGAATCAAGACATGGTGAAACTGAACCATTTTGATGGCAACAGCTTTGCTCGTTGGAGAGACAAGATGAAGTTTCATCTCACTGCCTTGAACATTTCATCCCAATCCGATGCCTATAGAGGATCCGAAGCCTACCATTAAAAGAGAACAACCAAGTGCAGAAGCCAATGGATTCTTGGAATGGCGAAAGATAGATAAAAGTCAAGACAAAAGACATTTTTTAAACATGCTAATAAAAATAATTATTATTATTATTTTTGAAATACTGTAATGATGCTTTAAGTGTTTTGCAAATGAAAACATTTATTTATTAAACATAATACAAATACCCTAAACTTAATTTGTCCGAAGATAGCTTATTGAAAATTCATTTGTAAGAATTCTTTTTTGATATCTCGAGCATTTAGTCGTCTTATTACTAGCGAGGTGTCAATGTGCTTTGAGCAAGACTTCACCTGCCTAATTATAAATATAGTTGTCATCGTAGCTTATTAGGATATCTTATAATTTGAAAACAGAATTCGTTGCATTCGAGTCGAGAATTCGATTATAAGATAATCAACTTTTTGAAAGTTTTATAAGAATTTCATCATGTATGTAGAAAATGATTATTCCCATATTTATTTTGGCCAAATTGCAATAAAAATCCTCACTTTTTCTCCATTTTTCAATTTTATCCCCACTTTTTGAGTTTTATAATATGAATCTTCACCTTTTGAACTCATATAAAACCTATCCTAAGATTAGATTTACTCCAAAAACTACAATCTAATTACCCTTTTACCCTTTTTTAGCATCATGTATTTACAAGATTCTTACTAAGGCCATATTTTCTATAAGAAAACCTATTTTTTTATATATATGAAAATAGTGGTGGGTTGGAATCTATCAGTTGATTTTCAATACTAGCATACTACATATTGCATAGTACATATTGCACAAGATAGATGTTTAGGTATAATAGCATACTACATATTAGACTGCAAATAACAAAGATGCCCTAAAACGCCTTAATGTGACGCACATATTAACCGTGGCTAGTGCGTGGAAACCTGCATATCCAGATGATTTTGTGTATAAAGTCATTACAGGTACTGATTTTCTTGTATTGGCTGCTTTCCCTTAATAGTTGCAACAAGCACACAACGTTTGTCCTCTATTTTTGGCTTCTTTCAATATGAAATTCCACAGATTACTCGGTGCAATCCTTTCTATTAAATACCTAGATGGATTAGAAGAATAAACATACTGGATACCATTTACATATCGGCATTTATGTCTGAAAGGTCAAGGGCCACAAACGATAGTCCGGACTACAGATAAACATGGAATGCTAGTGGCTATTTATACAGGATTTCTTGGAACCTACTTTAATGGTTTATGCTGGACTTTGACTTTAATTGCCCGCTAAAGCTATGATTAACTTTTTTCAATGCTAATCATTTATTAGATTTGTGATTTAATTGAACTAAAGATGTGTGTTTTGCAGTGTTAAAATCGTTGTGGCTTATCTCATGAAAAAGCATGGCTTGAGCCTTTCTCAAGCTTTGGAGCATTTGAAGAGCAGACGGCCACAAGCATCTCCTAATTCTAGTTTCATTTCACAATTGCAGGACTATGAGAAATTTCTGCTAGGTGCCTAATCATTGTCAATACTAGTTGCATTATTTACATGCATTGATAAGCATCTATCCAACACGAATGGAAGAGCTGTTATACATGTAACATACGTAACGCAATACTGTTTGTTGTAATCAGAATATATAGAAATAGATAATAAAGATACAAATTTTTATTTTTTTATTTTTTATAATAATGACCAAGTCGATGTTTATATAATCTTTAATATATAAAGATGTTGAATCACAACCTTTTTTGTGGATAATTAACAGGAAATTCAACAGTAGGTGAGGTACGGCTAACCGAATCTCCTTAAGGCGATTAGTTCCTAACAAGAGTGCTAAACAGTTCACGAACTATGTCTCTCAAGATACAATACCTCGAACCCATTTGTATTAGCACTATACGAACATGACTCTATCGAACACTTATTAAAACCGACATACTTAGAGGAGTGAATTTCTAAAGAAGAATTCTTATTTTGAATAACTCTATCTCATTCGGTATTTAAGGAAGACTTCAAACTAATTATTGTGAGCTGAAGAAATCCTCTGAAAAACTTCTTCACCAAAGCTAAAGAGATGCGTCCTTTAATGCATCCATTAATTCGCCCATTAACGTATCCGCAAAAATTGTTGCACGAGGGCTGAAGAAAGGCATCCATTAACGAATCCATTAATTTTTTTATTAACGCGTCATAAAACCGTTGCACTAGAGCTGAAGATATGCATCGATTTAACGCGTCCATTGATTCGTCCATTACCGCGTCCGTCAAAATTGGAGAGTCGAAGAACGTGAATTGATGTTGAGCCATTAATAACGCATAATTACTACAAGAGCAAAGCACGGAAAAAGAAAATTACAATAAAACAAAAAGAAAAAAAGGAAAGTTCAATTTCTTTTTCTTATACATCTATTTTTATTACAGGACAAGAAGGCTTAAGGAGAGTTACATCCCTTACAAGCAAACTCAAAAAACATCTCTTGTATTTAACAACCAAAGGTAAATTGGCAACACCAATAACTTTTTGTTCTTTTACTTAATATAAATATTGCGGCTACCGGACTTTGACATTTCTAAAAAACACTTAAACTTTCACAATATACTAATGTAGCCACGTAGATTCACATATAGTATTTTCTTTATCTTTTTTGCGATAACTAAAATTTTAGTGCGATGAAAAAAAAAGTCAACTCTTAAAGAGCATAAACAAATATGCCTGTAGATATTATTCGATGAACGCATATAATAGACAACTTGACAGCAACACTAATAAAACAGCATATGTATCAGACAGTTTGATAGCAACATCGATAAGCATTGATACCTAATGAGACATTTGGAACTTAGGGTTGATGTGCCTGTCGCTACATTACAATGCCCGGTTTGAACTTTTTGCTTTTAGCGGGTATTGAACCCATGTATTTGCATTCTATTGTAGAAAACATAACTTACTCACCTCAATGACTTGAAAACAAGATTAATTAGAGATGAATATAAGAACAAACTTATAACGAACCAAAGATAGTTGATTGAATGTAATAATAGCATACTACATATTGCTCACTGGTGCTAATAAAAAAAATATGCGTTTGTCAACTATCTTATAAGGGATGCATTAATTAAAATACATGCGGTAAACCGGTGTTCCGTCGGGATAGAATAGCCTGAAATTTCGCTCGATGCCGGCAGGTTTCTGATTTTCATTGAACATCGCGAAGATGAAGCCGCCCAAGCTACGGTCCGGATGCTTAGGCGTCCCGGCATTGGCCTGAAACCTCTTCACAAGGTTCTGGTTATAAATTTGTGCAAGCTCTACACTGGTGATGTAACCATTTCCGGCTGAAGGCCAGCCGCTCTCAGAAACCACCAAGTCCACACTGGTCACACCTTCCTTTTCCATCGCCCAATAAAAGGCGTCGACTACAGCATCGAGCAAGTTCGAGTAACTCAAGGTGCCATCCTGAACCACCGAGCCATTCGCAGTGAATTGAGCGTAATCCAATCTCACATTGACTGGATCAGAGGCGTATGCAAAGTACGGATAAACATTAATCATCAATGGCGAGCCACTGCTCGACAAAAATTTTATGATTCCGACCATGTCGGCACGAGCCGCATTAGAGAAAGTGGAGTTTGACGGCGGGTAAGAAGTCCCTAAGGTTGAAGTTGCGACCACAGTGGTGATCCGCATACCACTGTAGCCATAGCCCTTAACGACACTCTGCAGATTCCGCATAGCAGGAAGTACAAACTGAGCTAAATTTCCGGGGACCACTTCGTTACCGGCAGAAAGAAACGTAATTTTGACATCACTTGTGTACGGTTGCACGTTGGCGTCAAACCATGTCTTAGCCGCATCGACGCTCAACGCGATGCTTTGTAAATCCTCATTCTTGGTGCCCAAAGTGACCTCTATCTCGCTGCCTCTCAGCGCAGCAAGTGCAGCAGGGTTAGGATCGAAGAGCCGCAGCTTCCCGATGCCGTAGCGCCGGTAGAGTTTGACCACAGCTGCTGGAGAAGGGAGGTTGTCCCCGATCATCCCGTAGCACACGCCGACGTCAAGCCGCGCCTCCGTGGTCGTGATTTGGTGGTGAACAAACGCGAACAACAGTAGCATGAGAAAAATATTGACTAATGCCATCTTTGGGATTATTGTTGCCCTACTCCAAACACATGAAATTTATCATCGATCAGTGATCCAAAACCCTAAAAAAAATAGTACTATTAATCCGATGCTAATGTTTTTCCAACAATGACAAAAAAAAAAAACATGAGAATTAGTTTCTCCTATCAAAAAAACATCGCCATATGAGAGAAGAAATACGCAAAAACTCGCAGGTAAAGCTCGAAGCGAAACTAATAATATCATGAGCCTGGAGTTTACCTGTTATGCACTTTGCTTCCGCTGCGCGACGCGATATAGATGCCTGGTAACTATGTATTCTATTGGTAAGGCCATGATATATGGAAATTAATCGGAGGATTCTATTGGTAAGGCCATGATATATGGAAATTAATAGGAGGAAATCAGAGCCCATTCTTATCTATGATTTGCTTTGACATTTAAGGACAATTAGAAGTATATCTCAAATTTCGTTGGAGGTAAGAAAAGATTTCTTCCAAAGAAAAAAAGATAAGAATAGATTTTTTTGCGGCATCATTATCCATGGATGCCGTTAGAAAGGATCAAGGAAGAGATCATAATTTGCAAATTAGAACCCACATTAATTAGAATCCTATAGCCAATAGGCATGCATCCTAGCTAGTAAAGGGGTTGGGAGTTGGGGGGAGGGGGAGAAGGGGTGGTAACGCTAGTATCACAAGTTCTAGGTTCGAGTCACTCAGCTCTTAGCTTTGATCAAATACGCTTTGAGTCAAAGGGTTTGTCTAGATGCGAAGTCATCTCCCCGAGCTCTCCCAAGCATACCATCTATTCATAGTTTGTTTGTACAAAGAGATTCCTTGTCCTTGTCCCTGTCCCACATAGAAAAGATGAGAGTGTGTAGGCCAATATATAAGTATGAAAGTCTTCTAACGTGACAATTGAGCACAATAGGCTAAGTGGGCTAGACCCCATAACACTAACGTGTGGGTGCGCCCGGTATCAAAATTGGCCCTAATCAACGTTTATTATTATTTTTCATTATTGATTTTCCTTTTTCAAACAAATACAGCCATTTATTTTGCAGTTTTTTTTAATTTCGAATTTATAAAAAAATGACATGTTGTGCACTTTTGAAACAATAGTTTGTTCACAGAGGGGTTTCCCTATTATATATTCGATGTTTCTCGTTCCATACTTTTTTGCCTCTCAATTTTTCGTTTCTTTCTTAAAAGGTACATCATTTATTCTTCAATTGTTTTCTTTTGAGAGTTCTTATAGAAAATACCAAGACTGATATCTGATATACTCATTTTGAGACTTTATTGTATTAGCAACTTTGTAGGGCAAAAAATCGTTGAAACAATGTATTCATGGCTCAAACGCTGATTTTTTCCCAAAAATTTTAAGGAACTATTTCTGCAACAATGGAGTCAGACTCAATCAAAATCATGAATCAAAACAAGGTGAAACTGGACCGTTTTGATGGCAACAATTTTGCTCATTGGAGAGACAAGATGATGTTTTTTTTCACTGCATTGAAGATTTGTTACATTTTGGATCCCAATCTGATACCTATATAGGATTCGAAACCTATCATTAAAAGAGAACAACCAAGTGCAGAAACCATTGGATTCTTGAAATGGCGAAAGATAGATAAAAGTCAAGACAAAAGAGATTTTTTTTCAACATCCAAATAAAATATATTATTATTTTTGAAATATTGTAATGATGCTTTAAGTGTTTTACAAATGAAAATTTTCTTTATTAAATGTGACATCCCCAATTTGGACCAAGACGATCAAAGGTAAATGGTAATGGAATCAGCGAACGGTCCGATCCGAGGGTCGGTAATGGAACGGATAGTATGGTCGGAACGAGTGCACTGAGGGTTGGTCATGGCTCGATCGAAGGATTGTCCATGGATTGGCCAAGGGATCAACAATGGAACGACTCCCCAATCATGTAAGTCGATTAGAGTGATCTGACCATGGATCAACCTTTCAACCATAAGGGTCGTTAGTGGGACAGTCCGGGATGACCATGGATTAATGCCGTGCGGGCATGTGTTGGTCGTGGGTGATTCCACTCGGCCATGCATCGGTCACGGATGACCATGGATTGATCTCGTAATACTTGATTCCACGAGGTTGCATGACAACCGACGGTCGACCATGGGTCGCTAATACTCGAACGTGGACCGGTCGCAAATCAGCCATGGATCGTCGCGTTGAGTCAAGTAGGCCATGGACGAGCCATGTGCCAAGCCAAGAGCGTTGTAGCTTGGTCGCGGATAAGGCTTTGTGCCAGCCGCGCAAGCCAGGCCTTGTGCCCGATCATAAACCGACCCTTGTGCCCGTCAGCTAGACCACGGACCGGTCCTGTGCCCGGCTGTGTGCTAGTCACTATGCTTGACCCTTGTGCCAGGCTTTGTGCCCATCAAATCCGGCTTCGACCTAGTTCCGTACCAAACAAACTTGGCCACGAACCATGCATTATGCCTGTCCGTGAGCCGATGCATGTGTTCGGTCCATGAACTGGTCCCTCGCTCGTGTGGCCAGCCTTGCGCTCGGCGCACCGTCTGTGCAACCCAGTATCATGTTCGCGCACTCGGCTCTGTGCCTGTGTAGTAGACCAAGCACCCGTATGGCCGGCCCTGTGTCCTGTGGCTCGACCGTGTGCCAAGTCCTGCGCTCTGTTTGGCCCAACCGGACAGGCCATGTGCTTGGTCAATCTGGCTGGTCCAACCTTGCACCATTCAACTCGGATTTTGGCTCAATTATGTCTGGTAATGTTTGGACATATTTCTATACTGAACCTCGGTCAGAATAAGGTGGTTGATCATTTTTAGATACATAAATTCCCATTTACTTAGTTCACCTTTGCTAGTATCATAATGGATTTTGGAGGTTGTGCTTAATGAAGAAGGTGAGCCATAAGTTAGTTGTCCTTAGCGAATTATTGAATGTCCTTGAAAGACAAGAACAAGAGTCACATGCCCCCAAGCTTGGGAAACAAGAAGCCAAGAAGACCAAGTCAAACTTAGGTCAATAATTGAGGGTTAATCATTAGAGAAGGTCGTATCTTCTAAGATACCAATAATTGAGTGTTCTTGAGAGTTCTAGACAAACCACACGCCCAAGCTTGGAGGACAAGACAAATATAAGACCAAGTCAATGAAATTATTGGACAAGCCATCATTAGAGGCTTAGACATCCTCTTAGTCATTAATAATGGAGATGATTCACATACCCTAAACTTAGGGCATAATGACCCTAATGAGGGACTTGCAAGACAAGTAGGACACTTGTTAGACAATTGAACTCACAATTATTAGGCCTAAGATCTGTTGTTGACACCTATTTTTAATTTGCCCAAAATTAATTGCACAAAATTTAGGAATTAATTTCTTTAATTCCTAAAACAAAAATATTTCAATTTAAATGCATTGCATATAGAAATTAGGTACATTTGCACTAATAGAGTCTATTATATTATAGAGTTTATTTATAAAAAAAAAATCGAGTCTGGCCGAGTCGGAGCTGGGCCGACCCGGCCCATTTCTTTTTCTTTTTTTTTCCTTTTTCCCAGGGCCCGGCCCTTTTCCTTTTCTTTTTCTTTTTTTCCACTTTTCGCGCGGCCCGCTCCCTTTTCTTTTCTTTTCTTCCTCCATGCGGCCCGGCCCATTCTCTTCTTTCTTTTTTTTTTCTTCCGCGCGAGCTGGGCCTAGCCCGGCCCAACTGCCCTCTTCCTTCTTCCCCCCGTCGCTCTCGCGCCCCTGTTCGCCTCTGTGCTCGACGGCAGCGTGACGCACGGCGGCGCTGCTCCTCGCCGTCGCTATCCGGCCAGAGCAGGGCCGGATGAGCACGCCGACGGGACTGGCATTAATTGCCAGTCCCGTCCTCCCCGTCTTCCCGGCTCGCCCTTATCCCCTCCTCTCTCCCGGTTCTCTGTTCTCTCCTCTGCACCCTCTCTGCACCGGCCCCCCCTCTGCTCTGCTCTGCACCGGCCTGCCATGGCCGCGAAAGTCGCGGGGCAGGTAGGCCGGTGCAGGCCATCGTCACGCGGACGCCACGGAGAGGAAGCCATCGTCCGTCGTCAGGCTATAAATAGCGAGGAGAGAGAGAGAGCCCACGATCGACGATTCGAGAGAGAAACGGAGAGAGAAAAATTGAGAAAGAGAGAAAATAGAGAGAAAAGAGGGGAGAGTTAGTTCTTGCGAAGTTCCAAGCCGCGTCGCCGTCGCCCCGATCAACCGGAAAAGCCCCAGGGCGCGTCGACGGTGAGCTCTCCCAGCCAAACCGCCTCGTTACGCTTTGTTTTACTGTTCGGTTTGGCGGGGACTCGCGCCGGCCGTTTCGCGCGAATCCCGGCCCTCATACCGTCATCCCCGCCGTCCGTGTGTCCTCACCGAAGGTAAGTTGGGTCGCTGAATCCAGCCGGTTCGCGGGAACAGTCGAAATTTGTTGTTTTCGATCCGCGCGCACCATCTGCTTCTCGACAAAAGTCCTCAATGAAACCAGGTTTTGTTTTAATGGTAAAGCCGGCCGTAACGCACACGTCGGACGGTGACCCCGGTGGGTGGAGAGGCTCGGTTTTACTCCCAGGAGGCCGATTTGGGGGCGGCGCTGGTCTGGGTCCGCCGGCGAGAAGCCGTTTTAAGCTTCGCGGCGGCCGCTTCCCCGGTTCGGCTTTGACCGGTTGGTAGGCAGGCCGGTCAACGACCAGGTCGGATCCGTTGACCCGAGTCGGTTCCGACCGATCCGGTTCAGCTGATCCGACCCGGGTCAACGACCGGGCCGGATCCGTTGAACCGGGTCGATCGAACGGCCAAGGCCGGATCCGTTGACCTGGGTCGGTCCGATCGACCCGGTTCAGCTGATCCGACCCGGGTCAACGACCGAGCCGGATCCGTTGACCCGGGTCGGACCCGACCCGGTCCGGATCCGCTCCTTTATTATTATTTTTTAGTTTTTTTATTTTTTATTTTATTTTATTTTATTTTAAAAAAAAATTTTAAAATTTTTTTTCTTTTTCCT